GTGTGTGTGTGTGTGTGTGTGTGTGTGTGTGTGTGTGTGTTACCTTCATCTGTCCAAATCTGAGCATGGCTGGGGCCCAGTGACCAAGATAATAAAAACCAGATGACTGTCAGAAACACAGGACTGGACAAAAGGCCTGGCATCTAGAGAGACAGAGACAGGCAGTAGGGAAAAAAAGTGTCAGATAAAAGTTGTTTAAAATGATTTCTGAAGTCTAAATAATAAGTCAGTAAGCATTAATTTTAGCAGTAGGAAAATTTCAAGGCTGATTTTAAAAAAAATGTTTCTGTAAAAAGTCTGCACTTTGTCACAYTGAAATATTGAAATTGAAAAGCAGCCGAATTACAGACAAGTAGTTATGGAGTCTTTTCACTGAAGTTTAAATAAAATGTGCATAGAAGTTATTAAACAGGAAGTGCCAAAKATGTCCTCTGTGGGCAGACTAACGACACAAAGTAAAAACCCACTCATGTCCTCTGAACAGAAGCTGGACTTAATTTCATTGTCAACCATATCTGTGTAACAAAGAGCCATAAGGTGGATGAGTGATGAGTTGCATAGACAGAATATATAAACACATCAAAAAACATTCAGCTTAGATTATATGAACATTACATTTTCTGTATGAAAACATGATGCACCAAAAGAAACTACATTGATTTATTTTATTACCATTTCCAAATGCAGAGGAATAATTTTATAATACTGTATTAAACTAGACATGCAGGGTTTCTGTTTAAAGTTTTATCAATACATTTCACTAAATACTAATCTGCTTCACATTGACTATGGTTATCATTTGCCAAAATCTGCAAGTATTAGCTGAATTTAGTTAATATGGCTGCTGAGCTTCAGGGTAGACTCTTGACAGGTCACGTTTATCACACTTACAGACACACAAGTATCAGAAGAACATGCAAACTTCACACAGAAAGACCTCAGTCAAGATTCATTTTAAAATAATATTGATGTTGGGTGACTGTTGACCACTAAAACATTGTCCCACATTTGTTTTTACTTTTTTCCATTTTTTTGTGGTCTAAAATTGATAAAATACTAGGATCCAGGAGGCCTAAAGCAATCCCACATTACTGCGGGTCCAACATTTAAATTCTGAACTATTACATAACCATAAGAATTTTGGGTAACATTTAGTAACAAAGATAAACTGACCTTCAGAAGTTTGCCTACAAACTGCCAAAGTCTCAGCAATTGTGTTGGTGTGTTACATTTGTCTATTAATCCCAGATAATGTTCTTTTGTTCCCCAACAAAACTGACAACTGTGTTACTAATTAAGCAACACCAGCGTAGGAGTAACACCAGTGGTATCATGACACARTGTTGTCCTATTTTTATCAAATTGTGAAAGTTCAAAAGTAATCAAACACACTAAGCCATGTTTTCTTACATAACTCATACCTACTCACAGAGTCCACTTAAAAAAAGGTATACAACTGACAATTTTTACATTTTATTGGCATCATAAGTCAAGCAAAATGTCATTCGGTAGATCAAAGAAAACWTTTGCAATCAAATATCAAAATACAGGACCATTTACAGGTGATCACATTTAATTATGAATTGTATATTTTCTTACCTGTCATCCCAAATAATACTTGTAAATCATAAAATAATGAAAGACAAAGGTACCTTAGATGCATCACAAAAACATCTTCCAGAGTGTTCCTGATGTCTTTGTTGGAAACCAGAGACAAACACCATTTCTACTGGTGTCTTCCTGATGTAGCACATTACTGTTGTATTTACCACTCTAACTTCACACAGCACACTCAGCAAATTTAAATCTCACTGCCATCTCCCTCACTTGCACCCCCACCCCCTCTACCAACTTCATCAATCCCCCCTTTTCATTTTTTTTTTTCCTTCATGCACATTTCATGACAGGAACCCAGCAGGAAAACTGAACCCTGTTGTTGACATTCTCAGGTGCATTCCGGCGAACCTAATACCTGCACATTAGGCTATGCACAACATATTTTTTGTACCTTAGCTACAATAAAAGTGTGATATCATATTTTACAATAATGGCTGCAATGATAAAATAAATAAAAAAATAAAAAAATAAGTAGGTCATCTGGACGGGTTCTTCTTTAATGAAATGTTTCATCTCTCCTCCAAGAGACTTCTTCAGTTTCTTGGAGGAGAGATGTTTGCAATGATACTCAAACATGCAGTTTAGGCAAATAAAAAAATTAATTAAATTTGGGAGGAGCTCAAAGGAGAGCTGCTGATCCTAATCAAAAGGAACTAGTAGAAATGGTTTGRCATTAGGGAAATTCTGAAGACTTCTTAAAGGTGTTTCAGACATGTCCACAGGGAGGATACCACATCAGGGATGGGCAACAAGCAGCATGTGGACCACGTCCGGCCTGTGGGTGACTTYCATCTTGCCCAGCAATGAGGCCCCGCCAATGAGCTCACTAAAGTAAGTGTTTATTTTTGTTTGCTTCAAAGTAAAATGGTTATACATGCAATTTGACAATGAAATATGTCAAGTTATTGCAATGTATGTCAGTTCAGTATCAGTTTAACTTCCTATGTATCCTTCCTCCCAACCCCACAAGTCATTAATTTATCTTCCCTGCACATGTTGCTGAGTTCTACTTAAATATTTTACTTTATTAGTTCAAGGCTGGTGGCTCTTATCCCTGCTGTAGATTATATATTGCAGAGCTTTGCATGGTCTCTCCCTCACATCCAATAGTTTTTGTTTGTTTGCTTGTTTGTTTGTTTATTTTTGTTTTCTTTTTGGTCAATTTAATTCCAAGCAATGCAAAGTTMAGTCAACATACTGTATAACAAAACTAAAAAAATAAACATATCTCCTTAAATAGGCTGTGGCAACAATGGGAGCTAAATGCTAACTCAACTGATACCATCAAATTCTTGCTTGTTAGCAGAACTGATTACATAAACCTGTAACAAAACTAAAGCATAATGATATGCATCAGTGACACACCTACACTTTTAGTATTGTTGTTGTTTGTTGGTTTTGCTATGACAACCTTTGTTGCCAAAGTTCCCTAATGTTTTGGCACCATTTGYTCCACTTTGCATGTTAATTACATTGTTAATATGCGAAGCAAAAGGCCCACAATGTGATGCCTTACAGCTGGAAATAGTGGATTACACTGAGATTCTTTGCTTTCTTCTAAAATTTCGTGTGAGTGTGTGTGTGTGTGATCACAAGCTTATTTTCTGAGTCACACCCCAACATTATATTGTTACACTCCAAGCAAGTCCCAGTCAAGAAAGGAATGTAGCCATGGATACTGTCACCGGGGTGCATCTGTAAAGTAAGAATCCCCACATCCTAAAGACACCAAACAGAAGTACCAAATCCCCCACAAAGCCTGCATGATTTGCTCATGAGAACAAAATTGTTCTTTTACTTTTACACAGTAAAACTACCAAGTGATTAGACATAATTGCTAAACCTTGACCAAAATTCCTTAGAGAATAAACACTTCCAAGTTATCTGTAATAATGGTGACAGTGTAAAAGTATCCTGACTAAAGTCAAACAACAGCTGTGCCTAGAAACTCAAGGGAGTTTAGACGATTCGCCCCGGGTTATGAAAAGTACCACTCTTTTTCTACATTTTGCCAATAAAACTGACTTCATAGTAAAATGAAGTGTGTGTGGACACTCAAACTAAAAGCAAATCACATTTAAAAATCGGGTTTTATTAACCAGTTCGTTCTGCGACAGCGCAATCCCACATGTTGAGTCACTCACCTTCGGCATGCCAGTGCACATTCAGGCAGACTTACAAGAGAAGAAACAAGGCAGTGAGAGGGCAAAAAGAATATGAGACAGAAGAAAAAGAGGGGGGGAAAGAGCAAGCCTAGGGGGGTAAGGTGGTTAAAATTAACAAATGGAAAAATGCATTCTTTAAGAATAAAAAAGCCCAAGGCAAGGGAGCACTGAATACTGTTTGGAGTTGGACAAGAGTCTGTTCAGTGGGGTACTCTAAATTAAGTCAATTTCTGTATAAGCACACTAATTCACACTGCAGCACTGCTATTGTCATTCAGTGACATAACAGGTCATTACAGGATGTCCTGTTCAGAAGGACAGGTCATTAGAGTTTATGGCAGAAATTAGAAATTAACGAAGACTGATGTTTCATTTAGCCTGCAGCCTGTACAATGCTTAACAATGTGTTTACTTATTTGTGTCACACATCTACTTTCAAGGCTAAAATGAAGACAAAGTGGAGATCTAACTACCTGTGCATTTATAAATGAGGGTATGAGTGTGTGCATGAGTACAAAATTACACTATGTGACTGTCTAGGTGCACTAAACTAACAACACAACACTGTCAAGCCAAGAGGGGGAAGGCTACAATAAATTTGGTGTTTACCTAGGTCACTATGGCAATCGCTGTATACCCTGTCTGTTTGACCATCCAAGGTGATAAGAACGCAGATGAGTGATGCATGTGTGTGTATTTCCATATCTGAGGCTGTGCAGTGCAAGCCTTGAGTTTAAGCACACAGAGTTCATGACTTTGTTTTTGTGACATACACCTGCAGTTCCTAAACACATCTTAGTCAATCTCTGTTATTGTTGGTTGGTGTGTATTTGTGGCTCAGTTAATAGAACAAGTGCAGGTGGATAATTTGAGTCCACAAAAAGTCTACTGACTCCTATCAAGTTGATAATGAAAATAAATTTAAAAAAATTGGTGAAAGTGTGAATAATTTAAAAACCTGCATTTATCAATCCCTATAGATGAAAATACATCTACTATATGTTGTCACCCCATTTCCTTTCCCTTATCTTCTTTTTCATTAATGTCACATCTTGCTTTGAATATGCTACTGAACACAAACCCATCTATCCATTCATCTGTTGGTTCAATTTATTTTAAGATGCACTTTCATTTTTATTGTGTCCCTTGTTTTCTATGTTTTTGACAGTTGTATTGTCATGTTCCTGCATACTTGTTTTGTCTCAAAAGGTGATATCACATGTGAAATTCAGTTTATGTTAAGATGGACTGGAATTAGGAAATCTCTGTAAGCCTATATGTCATGTCAACCCTCAGTAGTAGTTGCTAGCCCTCTTCTTCAGTTATTTCAAACAACAAAATACTAGTTTTTTTTTAAATGT